TGCTCGTATAATATAGTGGTTATTATTGTTTGGTTTCTTTTAAATAGAATATAGTGATAATTCATTTTTTTATATTGTTTATTCTCTCATCATACGATCGATAATTTCAATGTTTTAATTCATTTTTATTCCTATTACATTTTAAATTTAATAACATACTATCCCCCTATATATATTGAACAATTCATATATTGTTATTTCTTTATTTATTTAATTAAACATTAAAATCTATCTGTTCATTTGTTATATTATATTATAATTAAAAAAATATTGACAATTGTAATCGGATACTTTTCGAAATATATACACGTTAATATAATAGATTTCGAAATGCAATGATTGCATATATCGAAAAGTAACGTAAGCATTTTCTTATTTTTTTTTTTTCTTACCTATACTTTTTACTTTCTCTCTCTCTCTCGCTCTCTCTTTCAACAAATGGAAATGCATCGGATAAGTAAATATGTGTCTCGTGTATACTTGTGTATGGGGAAAATCCACATTGTATGTATCCAATGTATACGTTAGTATAGAAAGACATCTTGGAACGACTTGAAAGATCCTATATTCTCCTTCTTTCTCTGGTCCTCTTTTATTCGTTTGGTCCATCCATCTATTCGTTGTCGTCTTCATCCTTACCAAGATCGGTGTGCTCTTACGGTCTAGCCGGCTTGCGAAATCGTTCGTGCGAATCGAATCGAATGGACCTTTCCCGTTCTGTTACCCACCTGGTAAATGTTTTTTTCTTAAAGAAACACTAAATCTTTCGCAAATTTTTACGAAATATTTCTAAATACAACGATCGTTTAAGTATAACAATTAAACCCTTAGAAAAAAAAAAAAAACATACATAGAGATAATTTTTATAAATATTAAATTGTTTAAATAGATATCTTTCGTTTTTTGTTTTTTAGAATGTTTTAATAATATCATTAATAATGTTGAACGTATCATCGAAACATTGACAGATCAAACAGATCAGGTTTTACATTAACAATACAAATTCTGTAATTATTATTATTATTGTTTTCTCCGAGTTAATATTATGACGATAATAATAATTTGATTGACGAGTATATTTCGTTTAAAATTAACCGATAGAATAATATAATATTCATTTATATTATGTATTAATAAATAATGAAACAAAAAAGAAAAGAAAAGAAAAATTAACAAATATCTAACATATGACTATCATATATTCTGATTAAATTAATTCAAGGGGTATTAAAATATCTAACAAAAATAGTTACTATTCGATCTCTGACATATCGAATTTCTTTTTTCCGTTATCTCAGACTCATCATTTATAAAATACTTCGGTAGAAGCCAATTTTTTGAATTATAAACACGAAACGTCCCATTACATTTTCCATCTCTCCCTCTCCCTCTCTCTCTCACTCACTCACTCTTTGAGGTTTTATCTTTTATTTTCTTCTCCTCCTTTTCCTTGTTTTTTTTCTTTTTTTTTTTCCTTTTTATCCGGATTTGGATAATCTAGGAAATATGAAATCGCTTGAAAATTGTCAGATCGTATGCAATAACGCAGCATTAGTGACAGGCACCCGGTACATAGTCAATAC